ACAAAAGGATGGAATTGAGCATCTTCCTAAATTACTACAACATAATTGAAAGCAATAAAAACATAGGTCATCGCAGAAGATGGACAACGGATTCAAAGCATGTCTCGGATGCGTCAAAAATGTCTTCGCAACAAAGCAGGATAGACTCAGGTTGGTCACTTTACAATGTGACTTTGAAGTTCCCGGCATAAAACTCGAGAATTCGACCACGCTCCGTGAGAGGGAATAAAATACAACCATGCTCAAAGAGATGGAAAAATGTAGAATTAAACTCTTCCACCGAAAGTAAATTACAGGATTTGAGAATTTAGAAAATTTTAGATTTCTAAAAAAAGAGAAGCCCATAAACTCAACAACACATATTATGTTTGCCGATCTGATTTTTGGACCCGTTGGGCCTAGGCCAAGATTAGAGAAACTAATATTTGTATTGGACCTCAACATTAAACTGAGCTTTAAAAAGCCCATAGAATCTTCAAACAGGCTCATTTGCAATCTCGATCCACAAGGTAAGTGGGATAGAGAAGGCGGCCGACGGTATAATTTTCCGATGAGTGGAGCCGATGTGAACCGGCGACTTCCGCCATTCCCGGATAGGAGATGGAAGATACGACGGCCGTAAGTATGGTTTCAACCTCGGCTACGAGGCAAATCTCGGCCGAGGAGGAGGTGAGGAGAATCGGCGACGGGGATGGTTTTTTAGCCCATGGAGCAGCGATTGAAGCCCTGGACTGAGAAGTGGGCTCAGATTCTGTACGGAAGCATGAAGCTTGCCCGGCGGAGGAGAACTCGATTAAGAATGGAGTGGCGGATTGAAGGGAAGTGACCGTTGGACGGTCAGATCTCGTCTTAGGGCCGGTAAGTTCATGGAATGGGAGGGACTTAGAAACTCGGTACCACTACAGCAGAGGAGGGGAAACAGTGGCGTACCTCGATGGTGGGGATCCATCCGGAGGGTCCGGTGGGTCTGGTGGCTTAGGCGGCGGAGAGGAGTTTATCTTCCTTGAGAATGGCATCCACCGGAGATGAGAGAGAGCGGATCTCCTGTCCACAAACAGTTTACCGCCTGGTGAGTCCAGGAGGGCTTGACTCATGGAGGACACCATCTCAAGTGTTGAGATAAACATTTCCGATGACTAACACAAACTACTCTTTTGCTCGGAGGGGAGAGATCTTCGGGGAAGGCTAGACTGGTTCCCAAGGTTAGACCGGTGAGGAAACGGTGTAGCTCCGGCGGAGATTTTTCATTTGCAGCAACGCACCTCGAGCCCCGTGCATGGGAGAGAAGGTTCGTACAGTTCGCCCTT